GGGAAGGGGGCAGGGGGGCTGGAGGGGGTGGTGGGTGGTCTGGGGAAGAGGGTCTGAGCTGACTGGGGGGTTATAAATATCCACCAGAGCCAGATGATCACACAGTGTCACAGTTAGTAACTGATGGAAGAGCTCTGGCAAAACACTTGGCTACCCTCGCCCCCTAGAGACCCCCCCCCCCCCACACACACACACACACACACACACACACACACACACACACCTTCCTACATCTCTCTTTGAAGATGATGGTGGCAGGTTTATTTGGCCATATTAAATCACAACTCTGAGCCAGAAAACAACTCTTATATGAGAGCCCTCTGGGGGTACAAAGATAATCAACACCAATTGGACATAACCCTTAATGTCAAATCTTAACTGATGATCTTCCCATTTGTCATTTTCATGGTGATTCTAATTTCCCCTTCAGAATGAATGACTTCAAGCAGAACTGTTTGCTCAATACCTGGCACTTAAATTGTAATTGAGATGGGCTAGACTTAATATGTTTAGCAATATTGTGGGAAAAGGCCCTGGCAGTGCGTTAGCAGGCCGCAAATAGCAGCAAAGCCAGCAAATATGAAAAGTGAGAGCTTAAGACTGATGGTATATTGACGAGATCAGATTCAGCCTCTCAGAGTTTTGTGATGGGCAGTTGCAGTGCAGTTTGGTTCAGTTCCAATAAATGGGTACCGTACAGAACCGAACTAAACCAGACCTCTTGGTAGAAACGAGGCTATAGAAAGAGGGTTTCGCATGGCCTGAGCGCTCACTGTCCCCTATTGCTTTTGGGATCACAGCAATGCACAACAATCTCTAAATTTAGACGCTCCTAATATATGCATATGTCTTTGTCAATTGTAGCGATGACAACTGGTTGCATTTCATCCTAATGCTAAGAGCAATTCCACCAAGTGTCTGGAGGGTAGAGCCGGGATTGTCTCCTCTCGTGCATCCTCAATGCTATAGATGGATGTCCAAATGAGAAATGAGGGCAGCTTTACTAAGGGACCAAGTAGGGGCTTTAGAGAAGATTGCAGGGAATTCCTCTATGACCATCCTCATGTGCCTTCACGACCTCCTGAACTAGAAAGGCGCGCTGAGCCTGCATGCATGCATCATTCATGTTAGGACACATAGCTGAAAGGTATTCTAAGCTTTTGTCCAGAGGGGGAATGCCTCTTGTCTCAATCTACACCGGTAGATTAAGCTCCGTTTTGTAAATGACACCCTTCTATACCAGACCCTTTTTAAAGTAAGGTCAAATCCTTACAAAAGTTCAAATAAAGCTAAATAAACACTGAACACGTGAAGCCTCTGCAGAGAATTCACACAGACTATACTATCCCAGCTCAATCAGACTGATGTGGTGTTAGTCAGCTGGTCAACATGTACCCTGGGAAATGACTAACATCATAACCATCTTAGCCAAACCCTCAATGTATTCCACATGTCATCGATTCTTCCATTTCCTGTGTTTTGCCTACAATGACTTGTATTGCTTTAACAGATCTCTGATTCTGTGCGGTGTCCAGCCCTGACTTAATGATGTTGGAACTCGCTGCTTTTAAAATATGATATCAAACATGGCCTGCACGGCACGGCGGTACATCAAACTGGCGACTGTTGGAAGATCACACGCAACCGGCTCATGGGAAGGGTTATGTTTAGATAGCTCTTACTTTGTCAACTCATTTATGCAAATGTTAAATAAGCAAGGTCCTTCTTTCTAGTTTGAAATGTCAATTTCAAAGGCATCATGAGGATGTCAGTTACTGATTCTGGATTTAAATTGTGTTTTCACAAATTCTTCTGTTTTTGCCTTTATTGGATGGGACAGCTGAAGAGAAACAGGAAATGTTGGGATGAGAGAGAGGGGAATGACATGCAGCAAAGGGCTGAGGTCGGATTCAAACCCAAAGCTGCTGCAACGAGGACTATAGCCTCTGTACATGGGGTGTGCAACATAAACGCTAGGCTAGCGGCGCTCCGACAAAGTAGCTTTTAAAGTCTCCATTGGCTTTCTCAAGTTTCATTCTGACTGTATTTTCAGTACTGGCACACTGTTTCAACATCTCCTCGCTGTCAAAATGTTTGCTTGGTGTGCTTGTGTGTCAGCTTATGAAAGACATGCTAATATGGTATTACACATTCATTCCAATAAAATGTAAGATGGGATTTCAGGTGGAGTCAGCAGTAAGAGATAGTCCGGCACTAAACAGCCAAGGTCATTAACTTTGTTTTGAGGAAAACATTACTGGTGGCCAACAGCAGAAAAAAGCAGCAGCAGTATCTCTTTAAGCTGCCAAATCATAAAACATGCTACACATAGCATGGGATTGAACATTCACAATGTCCTCCTTTTACAATTTTTTTTCCTTCTCCAAAAGGTCAGGCTTCTAACTCAAGCCCGCAGATTTGAGAATGGCCTGGGTGAGTCATGACATCAAAATGATGTGCCGCCATAATGACAGGCACAGTGCTGCAGCACACTGTAGCTCTTCATTTAACCAATCACACAAGAATGCACCGAGCACATTTTCAGAGATGAAAACATGGAGGACCTCAGTGACATGTCTAGGCTGTGATTTAGTCTAATTGGCCTTGGTGCCGTGGGTGGGCAGAGTTGGAATAGCCTTCTCGTGGATGTCCATCAGACACAAAAGGGCACAGCTTTTGTACAAGCATATACAGCACCATCCTTTCATAAAAATAAAAAGTGTGACACACAACGTCAAAATGTTTCATAGAAATCTAAACCAGAAAAAAGGACCACTTATTTTGAATGCAACATTTTTGTGGCATAAGTCAGATTTACAAATACTTTCCCCCCTTTCCTGGTTTCCACATCACAGATTCAATGAAAAAGAAACCAAATTCATAAGCAGGACAAGAGTAGGAATAGCTAACTGCAGCTTTATCTCTGGGTGTAAGTGAGTCTGATGACAGCTGTGTAATTAGCAAACATATCAAGAATACCAAATGATAACAGTAAGATCTGAATCTCTGTTAACCCCTCATTTCTGAGGTCAAATCCAAATGAAACTGCTTTCATAAGAGTGACAAATGTGGCTGACGCATCGCCTCATGACCAAAAAGAAAGCAAGGTTTATATTCTCAGGATGTGAAATATTAGTTTTATAACGTCAGCTTATGTAGTGTTGTAGCCTTTGGTCTGTCTGACAGATGACAGTGGTTGTTAATGGACAGCAGATGTCAGCAGTGTGTTACAGCACACTGTGTTCATCTGATAGACTCACACTGTTGTGTCTGCATCTGATAACAGCACTCATCAGACAACACCGGGACTACCTGTAACATTTCAAATCTCTATAATTCTTCACAATTCCAATGAGTATTGCTAAGATTAGTTCAAGTTTCCTTAAGACGTTGTAGTGCAGATCATTTTGTGTATGATGAGTTGCACATGCTGCTTACTATATGTATGAGTCATACAGTACATGTGGTTTTATCACACTGCAAAAGGGACTTTATTTTCCTGATGAGTACCACAGATTGAATGAAAGAACCCTGCTGTTAATTGAATCCAGACCTGCTGTCACGTGTGGAACCAAACAAAACACACCCAGAGAGCAGTGAGCAAAACCTTCCAACTTCCTGACTCTTTGTCCTTTGCTCACACCCACAATAGACAACGCCCTTGTGAAGTCCATGCTTTACACCCTCACAGGATTGCAAAAATGCACATGATAAGTCAAAACAGCACAACATTTTACCCGTCAACATTGTGAAATATTGGGCATCACGCATTATCAAGAGTCACATGAATATGCTTCTGCATCCTGATATGAAATAAGCAATGCAAAGTTTCACTTCAGCAAAGCCAACCACAGAATCAACTTTTTTCTTGACTTTATAGAATTGTTTTATTTTTTTCCTCCAGATCTGGCAAAGGAGGCCTGCATATACTGCTGTTATCACTTTGTCTACATAACTCCCATATCCTATGCATTCCATTACATAATGGTATGCAAGAGGCATGCTTATCTCCTTTACAAGACAGGGTGAAAGGAGGACAAATAATGAAAATAAAATAAAATAAAACAGGGAACATAAAAAACAAAAAAAATGTGGCACAGAGAGAACAGAGTTTTACTGGAGCAAAGAGGAGTTGTGCTCCCAAAAAGCACCACACCTCCCTCTCATCGTCAGTCAGGGCTTTAACTCACACACATCTATCTCTACAGGGAACAGGCGAGGCTGGATCGCAGCAAACTGCCCCACCTTGTTGGAAAGCATGCAGGTCTGGATAATCTCATTTGGCAAACACTCAGAGATGACTCCAGAGATTACCGTTTTTACTGAAACATGTGGAGCCACATTATTAGCAAACACCCCACCCAAATAAATAGTTTTTTTTTGGTTAGAATCGTTTGATTTTAAGTTTTTAAATGCACTAACCTGTATACAGTGTGGTAAATTATAGGTTTGAACGTGGAAGTAATTTAACTTTTAAAAATACGTTTTTAATTATTACTTTCACCTTTCAAAATGTCATAATGCCTGTCTAAGAGTCTGACAGTGTCTTGAATATACTGTACTACAGGGCATGCTATAACTGTGTTACTGATACTTCATCTATTTTAACACACACATAATTAAATCACAGCCACATCTCAATGCACTCTTCTCACCGGCTCACTGAAACTACTTCTAAAGACAGGCTGCCTCCAGTCCACATCACAAAGAAGAAGCTGGGCTATGTCATATGTAACTTTAAGCCATCAACTGTTATCAAATAACCCCAAATAATACTTTGGCAGATAAGCAAGAGACAGACAGTTATGGGAGTGTCCTTAGGAGTAAGAAATACTACACGGGTACCTGACAATGTGAAGGAGCAACAAAAGGGCTTTCATGTCCTACCCTACCTACAGCCTCCCACATTTCAAACAAGAGGCAAAAAAAAACAATTACGTCACATTGCAGAGAGAGATAGTAAGAAAAGACCGGAAGTAGGGTAAATCATTCAAACAAACCTTCAATGAAGTTTGGCCACGTCTTTTCCTCTGGCTCATCCAGTGAGTGGTCCCAATCTGGTTCAGGTGAGGCCCCATGCACTATGGCCCCTGCTGCCCCTGACAACAGTGCCCGCTCTATGGCAATTGCTTCCAGAACATCCAGGTCCAGTTCTTCACCTTCTTCCTCAGGTTGCACAGGTGGAGGAGGAGGTGACTGCTCCCCGGCGACAAGGTGCTTCACCTCAACTATCTCTTCCACCACTACAATTTTCCTCTTCATGGCGGCCTCGTCAATGTCAGAGTTTGCAGAATCACAGGTGTCCCCCAGGTGAGGCTGGTCAGGCCGGGCAGCGGCGGGTGTGGCAGTAGCAGAGGGTGTGTCCTCCTCCAAGTCCTTCTTCGCTTCCTCCTGCTTTAAGGCCTGAGAAACAGAGAGGCTTTTCTCTGTGCTGCGCTCTGCTGCCTGACTGGATGAATGTTGTGCAACTCTGGGAGGCTCCTCTGGCTGGGCGAGGGGGCTGGCCTGTGCCTGAGCTGCAGCTGCCTCTGCTGCTAGCGCTGGTGCTGCTGACGCTAACTCTCCGGCTGCGTGTGCTTCCCTCACAGTCGAGGATGTTTTTGGTTTCGGAACCTCCCGCTTGATTTTTTCAGCAAAGAGCAGAGCTGACTCCACCTCCCCTTTGTCTGCCGGGGCCTCAGAGAGCACAGCTGCTGCCTGCCTGGTTTCCTCACTGCACATTCTTTCAGGAGTCATCTTTGGGGAAGCATTCTGCTCCGTCAGTTCAGAGGCCATGTCAGGGCTGTCCTTAACAGTGTTCTTTGGCAATGATGTAATGTCAGTGGACAGCAATGCTTCGGCCTCGGGCAAATGGACAGACTCTGCATTTTTGCCGTCTTTTGCTGGTGCCTGGGTCTGCTTTTTCCCTTTTCCTTTCTTCTTACCCTTTGAAGCTTCCTCTGCAGCTTTCCCTGCACTTATTGGGGATTTAGTCTCTGATGTGAGTTTTTGTGACTCTGAGACTGCGGCCGGAATTTTCTTGTCAGGTTTAGGACCGGCTTGTTCAAGCTCTACTTGAGTTATTTTCTGCACAATCACTGTTTCCATTTTAGTGATATTCATTTCCATAGATTTAGTCAGCCCCTCGTGGGCCAATTTAACGTTAGATTTGTCCATTGAGGATAATTGTCCCTGTGTTTCCTTTTTAACACTGCTTTCCTCTGCCTGTTTTTTCACTGTTGCATTATCTGACAGCTCTACTTGGGGTCCTACAGGGATATGTTCTAGTAGAAGTGTTTCAACTTTAGAATCACTCTTGTCCTGAGTTTGCTTCGGGACTTCCATTTTTGGCGTCACTTCAATCTCTTTAGGGACTTTCTTTATATCTCCCACATCAAAATGGATTTCAGCCTGAGTCTTGTTTTTGTCAACAGCTGATGCTCCCTTAGTCTTAAAACTGGTGCTCACTTTTACTGGCTCGTAGTGAAGCAGTGGTGTGGGCTGGAGGGCAATTTCTGCTACCTCCTCCTCAGGGGACTTCGATGTCTCTCCAGGGGATTTCTTTTTCTTCCTTTTTGATTTAGAGCTTCCTTCAACCAATTGCTTAGTCTCCACTATCTCCTGGGCGACACTTTGACTAACTGGAGCTGGAGATGAGTCTTTACTCTCTAACATTTGGCCCTGCACTGACACTTCAGTGGCTTCTTGCCCTATTTTTTCCTCTTTCTTAACTAGAGGAATCCTCTTTACATCAGCGTTCTCCTGTTTTGTGCAAATCTCTGTTACTGTAGATTTGACAGGTTTTACATTTTCAGCACTTGTCATTGGTGCTGAGAGAGTCTTTCTAATGCTCGTTTTAACTTCAAGAGTTGAGGATTCACCCACTTCAGTTGTTTTTGGGGGCACTTCATCACTTGTGGACTTTACTGAGAGATTCACAGAGGTCACTTGAGCATCAATGGGTGCCTGAGTCACGCCTACTGTATCAGTGGACAACACTGAGTCATTGGGGGTACTGTGGGGTTGGGGTTTGGTGGTATCCTGAGTGACAGATACTTGGGCAGTTTTCTTTGCCTCCTCATGTTTTATTTTAGACTCAACTGAGGTCTTTGCCTCTGTAGGTTTAACTATTTCCTCGTCAACCTTTGCTACCTTAAGCCTCTCATCTTTGATTTCTACATTGACAGGTTTTGTGCTGACAGGGGTGGCCCTGGCGTTTGATATTTCCTTAACTGTACCTTTGGTAATTACTGCTTGGGCCTTGACTTTATCGGCTGGATCCACATTCACCTTTTTTGTCACCTGCTCATCTTTGTTATCGGGTTTTGTGGTTTTGATGGCAGGGGTTGGGGTTGCAGTGTTGGTAAGGGGTTTTGAGGTTTCCTGAGAAGCAGCCATTGTCATAAATGCTTTTGGCTTTACTTTCTCAGCTGCTGGTTCAGCTCTCGCCTTGACCTCTGCAGAATTAATTGGATCCATTGCAATTACCTTTGTTGTCTCATTCTCTTTGACATCTTTATTGGCAGGTTCTGTGATGACAGGTGTGGTGGTAGAACTGTCTGCAAGAGCTTTTGAGGTGTTGTCAACAAAAGCAATTGTAGGATCTTCCTGAGCCTTTAATTTACTAGCCTCCTTCTTAGACAGAGCCTTAACTGCTGCAGGCGTAGCCGGCTCAATAATCGTTGTTTTTGTCTTCTCATCTTTGGCATCTTTTTTGACAGATTTTGTGCTAACAGGGGTGGCATTGGCAGGCTCAATTAGGACTTTGGAGGTTTCCTGAGAAAAGCTGCTTGTAAAAACTGCTTGGGGCTTTACTTTTTCAGTTGCCGCCTCAGCTGTAATCTTGACCTCTGCAGATTTAATTGGATCCACAACAATTGCCTTTTTTGTCTTCTCCTCTTTGACCTCTGTACCAGGAAGTGTTGTGATAGCAGGCTTCACGCAAGCTTTTTCATCAGGGGTATTAAGCTTCTCTTTATTTGTTTTGGGAGAGGAGTGATCTGGTGGAATCTTTGAGGCTGTAGCCCATGCAGCCCCTGTAGCCAAAGTAGCAGCCATTAATGGTAGGGCCGGTTTGGAGGACAGTGATGTCAGTGACACATCCTGTTTCAGATCTTCTCTCTGAACCTGAGCAGAAACCGGGGCCTTCTCCTTTTGGACTTCAGTCACTCTTCTCTCTGATGATTTTGATACCGGCCTCTCACTGCTCACATCAGGCATCTGCCGAGAGACTCTTTTTACCCTGCTCTCCTCCATCATCACTGATTCACTTGGGATGACGTTCCCTTTCCTAAACAAGGACTGAGGCTGGTCCTCCACTTCCCATGATGCTTTTGGCCTAATTGAACCTGCAGCTTGTGGACGGCCCCTAAACCTCGGGGTTCTATCAGAGTAGCCCTCTCTTTCTCCGGGACCCATCATCTTGTGGCGGTAGCCCTGGCGTTCAGCATGAGCCTCTTGGCTCTCTGATTCGCCCCTGCGTCCTGGCTTTGGAACATAAGATGTTGGACCTTCCACAGTTTGGACCTGTGCAGCCCGGTGGGCAAAAGATAGGGTGGCAGCAGGCTTCCTGATCCTCTGAAGGGATGCAGGGACGATCTCAGGTGGCAAGCGGAGGAAGTCACGCAGGTAAACAATGCCCTCATTGGTCAGGTACCAGTAGAAATGTCTCCAAGCAAAGGTCTCCTTCACATAGCCCCTTGACTTAAGAGACCCCATCGCACGGATTACTTGAAGATTGCTCACACCTTCTACCTCAGGGTGCTTGGCCTGAGGTCTCTTGTCCTTCTTGGACACCATGACACCATCTCGAAACAGCACCTCGTAGATGGCCCTCAAGTCCCTCACGGGCATCAGCATTCCAGCAACCATTGTACTTAAACTAAGAATACTCTCTCAAAGTAAAACTGAAACTGAGAACATGAAGGAAAAGTCACTAAACGTCTTGTTGTGTAAAGGAATCCAGTGGCAAAACCAGCTGTCACGTGTTTCTTAATTCAATAAGGAAAAAAAATGATAGAAGAAATCCTTTTTATTTTTTTTCTTACTTTTTTTCCCTCTTGTTCTCGCTGCTCCTTTTGGGTATCGTGAAGAAAACAAATATTCCTTTGTGAATTCTGACTCAAACAAAGTCAAAAGTGTCCTGTTCCTGCTGAATTCAGCGTGGCTGGAAATGAACAGTCTCTGTTCCGCCGAGATGGCAATGACAGAATGGAAGAGGCAGCGTGTGTGAGAGAGTGTGTGAGAGAGAGAGAGAGTGAGGCACACATCTCAGTCCGGCTCCTCCTACCTTCTCTGTGTAATTCTAAGGGAAAAAAATGGCATGGAAAAAAAGTCTCACCGAAGTAAACAGTTCAGCAGAGGAGCTGCAAGCAAAGAAAAAAAAAAGCATCTGAAATAAACGGCTGCAAAGTAAGAGCGAAGTCACACGGATTGAGCAGCACACCTATGGAGTGTGTTTGAGCACATGCTCTGTAGCTCTGTGACTTTCACAGAGACACCCACTCTCTCTCGAAAGCACACGCCTCCTGTGTAATTTACACACACCTCTAAACACACATTAAGACAGGCTGATACACACCCTTTGGCGTGTCACACACACCGCACAAATAAAAGGGCTGTTCTTAAGAGATTAGTTTAGAACAAACAGATTCATACATACATCTATCCTGCCCTGGGACGACTTGCAGAGCATGCATGTAGGTTATTAAGTACAAGGTATCTAGTTTTACACATTTCCTGATCAGGTATCACTGAGGACCTTTTACTCTACACACAAGGTGTGGTTTTAAGATTTCAAGTTGCATAATGAGTGTGTAAAGTCTGGTGACTCTTGTGGATGGATTTTGGTCGGTCTCAACAGACTGAGACATTTAACAAAGATTGTACGAACAGGATATAAAAAGACTAAACAGTCATGACCCAACCCTTAGATACAGAACTATTATAACGTTTAATTCTATTAATATCTGTGTTTGTTTGGAGATGCATTATATCACTAAGTAAAGAAAACTACATAGATGAATTGGCATTTCCTATTACAGCTCACTGAGGTAAAAAAGAAAAAAGAAAAGAGATGGTAAAAGTGATGCAACAGGCTGTAAAGAAGTGTTGCTGCTTTAAGCAGTCAGCATTAGGGCTCCATTTAGCTGGGAAGCATATATCTGCCTTGCAAAACTATATAAAGGTCTGCACATTATAGCTAACCTTTTCAGTACTCCCAGGAACATGATATCAGATTTCTTTCCCGAGATCACTTCTCTCTTCTGTACATCTGTCTACCGTCCGTCTCCCCGTGTCAGTGACAGGCTTCCTGCATAGCCAGTGTCCAGTGAAAGCCAGTTTGAAGGAAAGCTGAGCATTGTTAGACATAGAAGAGCAAAGTTTACAAGGTCCACTGAAAGAAAAGAGTAGAGCCAGCAGGCAGTACTTTTGCCTGGAACACAGTGCTCTAGTTGCGCAACTCATGTGGCATTGGGTTGATGCTTCTTTCCCCCCGCTGTTTTAAACCACAATCACTATGCATCCAAACACTGGTGTACAACTGTTTTTATTTTATTTGCCATGGCAACAGTCAAATGTGTAGTGAGCCAGCTCTGACTAACTTACATATCCGCTTACAGGGCTGTAGTGAAGCAGCAGCAGCAGGCCATAAATCTGTACTCCTGAACAGCTGTACAACACTGTCAATTCACAGTCCACTATGTGGAAGACACTGATGTGACCTCAACAAACTATTATCAGATTGTTAAGCTTTCATCCATAATCAGGAAAAAAGTATCTGAAGCAAAATGTTAGACTATACAGTTGTAAAAATGTTGTTAGGGTTAATACAAAAGACAATATAGGCTTAGATTAAATGGCAGCCTTGTAAATTTAAATAACTACTTCCATGACAGCAGAAATAGTTTCTGGCAGTACAGTACTCTCAAGAAAACAATTCCTGTTCCACAACAGTTCTTTGACACTCATCTTGTCATCATAAGAGGCGATGCCCCAGGCCGTGTTTGTGCTCCACCTATAGCAGATATGCTCTAAATCTCTCATGGTGGTATATAATCTTTTGTGGCACATGTCAAGTTAATAACTCAAGGTGAAGGCTCAGGGGAGTTTTCAAAAGAAGAACAGAGGGATTCTGAGGTTATTGTAAGAGGAAGGCATTCCTCTGTATTACGAAACAAATGTTTAATGGTTGACATGCTGCAGTTTGCCTGACACTGAGGCAGTGAGGTGGTGGGGGCGTCACCAGGTGAAGCTGGATGTGTATGTGCAAGTGTAATTAGCTTGAGGTCAAGTCATTCTGTTTAAGTCAAATAAGGTTGGCGCTAAAGTAGGCATGGGTATTATCAAGGACATCAAAATTCAGTTCCATTTAGACTCTTTGGGTCACGATTTGATTCGTTATCGATTCGATATTGATCAATTAGCTTCGATATTGATTCAATAATAATACTCATAGATGACAGAAGTAACCAGGTAACTCGTCACTGTATTGTCTGACATTTGCTAATAAATATGTTTGCATTATTTGTATAAAACAAACTGACTCCAAAATGTATTTTAGTCACGCATTATTCTTAAATAAACAAAGGATAAAAGATTGAAGTATAGTATCCTCTAAGTGCACTGAGCTGAATTTACAGAACACAACTAATCAATGTTTTTTTAAACCCTCTGAGTTCCAAGGCCTTTTCCATAGCTTTTCCCAAATGATGTCAGAAGAAGTCTTAAATAGTTATTACACAATAAATACAAAAGACAAATTAAGGACAAAAGGAAATGTCAGGTATATGTTGAAATAAATGTATATCAATTAGCTTTGTAGCTCTTGGTGGACAGGGAAATACTATAAAACAATGAAAACTACACACAATCAAAATGAGTAAATAAATGAATAACAACTATATAGTCATGATTTGTTCAGTGTGTTTTGGGTGCACCAAGCTATCAAATCGCGTAAAGGACATTCTACACACGTTATTTAGAGCACAGATATAGTGATACTAGAATAAGCTAAATAGGATGAATCCATTCAAAACAGTACTATCTTCTGTAGTTCTGTGCTGTGAGCAGGCTGTGGGGAATGCCCTGGCTTCTCAATGGCCCTTACATGTCAGCTGATCGCAGATATAGATTGATTGATTGCAACTGATTGGTTGCGTCCCAGTTAGCCCAGTGAGCTAACAACAGAAATTACACTTTCACTAAAATGTTTACGGAAATCATCACAGATTACCGTCGTTTTTGGGGGGGCTGGATCTAGACCATCTCTGAAAATACACTGGTGTTCTCATTGATCACAGAAACACATGGAGTTTATGACCTGAAAGCTGCCGTTCTCACACAGCGAGTGGAATTAACAGTAAGGCGCTACGTCGTACCATTCTATTTATAAAGCTGATATCGTAAACAATCAATTTTATTTTGCATAAAACAGCGTTGACCTCTTTAATTAGGCGTAAATCATGCCTTAGTTTTGGAAAATAAAATAATCAATCTTAGGACTTTCTGAATCATTAATGAATTTAGAAAAAATATATTGCAGTGCATTGATGAATCGATGTTTTTACTCAGTCCTATTCTAGAGCATTTCATACGGTTGGTATTTTGTGGTTTACAATTATGTATCAAAAGAAAATAATTTACTGTATGGCAAACAATCCAAATAAGCCCCAATGATACCCCAGTCAGCTATTAAAAATTAAGCCTGGAGCTGTCTCATTCTGGTAATCTTAATCACCATGCATGCCCTGTTCCCCTGCCTGCATATCAGTGTGATTTCATGCACTGTTTATGCACAAAGTGCTCATTGAACTCAAAACTTCCCACAGTGACCCTTATTCTGGCCTGAGGCCAAATCCCTTCAACCATCCTAATATGAAATATGCCGACTTCAAGAGAACTACTGAATCACCAGGCCTGATAAACGCTGGCTTCTAGTACTGAGTGCTGCTACTGCTTTTCATTGATACTTGGGGTTACAATAGCTGTGTGTAGTTTGAAGTGAAATGAATATCTTAATAAATGATAGGACATAGACTCTCAGGGGGGTAAGGAGATACACACTCACTGTAGAATTAATAGCACCTCCTTGAAATCATTCTATAAAGAGATACTGCAGCAGCGGACAATTGAAAATAGCGGCGTGATGTGATTGATTGGAGCAGATAAAGGAGAAACAAGACTTTGGCGAGGAGTAACTGAATAGTTTCCTGCTTAGGAGTTTCAGAGCTCCACAAGTCCAAGAATAGACTTGTCATCGCCGACTGATGGTGGCTGGCGACTGGCCCACTGTAAAGGCCTGCTGCTCCAAGGCCTTCTGGTCCTGCACACGTGCCCATTCTGATATCAGATCCAAGCCTCTCCAGCCACTTCCAGAGAAAGCAAAGGTCAGACGAGCCTTTCTTGACCACTTGTGTGAGTGCTTACATTTCAAGAAGTTAATATAAAAGTCAAACAAGTGTTGAAACTAAAGGACACATGTCTGGACATGATGCATGCAGCTCTAATAGACGGGAACAATCATTAGATTAGGGTCAATTTAAGCTCAAGAAGAAGCAATGAAGCTTTCTAGTTTAACAGTGGTAGGTGGACGTTATTCTCAAACACTACTTTGACAGGCTACTTGTGATTATTCTGTCCTTTAAATACGTTTTTAAAAGTTAAATAAGGGTAGCCTTTTTTACCCCAAAACATGACATGCAGTTTTGTATACAGTACATGACTAATCCTTTTTGCAATGCACCCTTTTTTTAACCATGCTCTATTTTCATTAGTGGAGCTTGTCTCCTGGGTATAATTAGGAGAGAGACCCCTCAGTCAGGGACAGCTGGGCCCCCCTCACAGAGCTGACACATGTAAGACCACAAACACCTCTGACTGAAGGAATCTGCTTACGTTAGATATTGTTCCAAGCAGCTTCATATGCAGGCAAGGGTTGTCCCACGGTAATCATAGGCTTTCCCCAGAACAGAGTGTTTCTTTTACAAATGACAAAGTAATGGTTTGCACTGGTACAATGACAAACACGTGTAATTAGTGGAGACGCTCCTTCACATGTTGAAAGTCACTGTGATGGTATGATGATCAAGCCTGAGTGAAGGCTTAAAAAAGTTATTTTTTTCTTTATTTTTTTTTACTATCGCTTACACATATGATGTTGAATGTATGGTCGACCGATTGACCAAATGGAACAAAAATAACTTCCCTTGAAGATAAACCCCATTAGTGATCCTTTGGATATAACTTTAATGCCGCTATAAGCTTGGCATCTTTGGTACAAGTTAACCATTGGATGGACTGCCATAAATCCGACTCACACATGTCCCATCTCCCTTGTCAGTGTATTGGCATACTTTGTACATTTTATGGAGCTTTTTTGTATGTTTTTTTCATTTATCTAAGGACATCATCAGATACAAAAGATAGACTTCTGGTTTTAGACTTCATATTTAAATT